TAGTGACAACGTTTAAATTTCAATAGGTTTTGAAATAAGAAAGGTCACCTAAAATCAGTTTCGATTCCAATTTTGTTTTTCTATTTTTGCATAATTTTAAGTATAAGTTTTGTATAAAATATAAGCACACTATTAAATATGATATTAATAAATAAATAGTAAAGGTTTAGTTCTCAAGAATATCTATACGTACTAATTGCAATCGACATTAATTATAATTTTTTCAAGTTTCAGAATAACGTGGTTTGAAAATAAAAACTCAAAGTAAGAATTTTCATTTAGAACGGAAACACTTTGTGTACTCATCATATAAATAAGGTATATTATATATATATATGTATATGCACACACATTTTCCAAACTTGATATACTTCAATTTCAAACTTACAGTTTAAGGATGAAAATATTAAAAAAGAAAAACAAAAAAATTATCAAAGTCTTGTGTGTCATTGATTTTAATTGACTCTCTTGCGGAATCTATTTATATTTAATTTTTAATATTATCACTTTATACGCATAATTTACATATTATCATATATATTAACTATATGTACATAACAAAAAATAAAATTATATATTGAACGCACATTGCACATATTAATAATTATCAATATAAAATTAACAAGTTTTTCTTTTAAAAAATTTATTAGTTAAAAATCTAAAAATACCAGTATGTATAGTTTTGCTTTTCATTTTCTTCCTTTTAAAGAAAATTACATACATATATAAGTATTTCTAACTATGTCTATATGATCGAAAACTATATATATAATATGCAAATGAATTTAATAGGAATAACAAGAATTCAACAAGTGCTGCTTCTTCTAAAAGCGCCTAAAGCAAATGTACGTTATGAATTCCTGATCATTTCATATCTTACGCCAGAGTCTGGTAACCTTAATTAATATATATCACTATGAATGAGTCATATATAGTTGTAGATTTGTAGATTTGTGCAACGGAGGCGACAGTGCACCGCGACCACGTATAAGGATCTATTGTGCGCCTCCATCCGAGTGCGGGGCATGCCCTACAACACACGCTCGAGACCCACCCTCCTGATGAACTCAAGCAATTTGTGAGGACTAGAAGACCGCAGCTCCGCCACCGTCAGAGCAAAGCAACCCAGCACCTCCCTCCTCCTATGAGCAAGATTATCACACTCCCCCAGGAGGTGCACCGAGGTCTCTCCATACTCCCCATAGAATCTGCAAGTATGCTCATTTTTCAGGCCCAGCCGGCTGAGGTGTCCCGCTTATCTCTGAAATCGCTTCTGGTCACAATCTCCCAGGAGCTCCTTGATTTGCCGTAGCCCCAGAAGACTGCTCCAGAGCTCCGACCGCCTTCTTTCTGATTCCTTCCTTAATTGCCAAAGAATAATATGTGGTCCGATTCCGCAGAAGGGCTCCGGCCCAAGAAGAGGTGTGTTTGTCCCCTTCCTTGCAAACGCATCAGCGGCCTCATTTCCTTCCACGCACACATGGCCCGGCACCCAACACAGTGTTACCCGGTTGCATCTGTCCAACACATTGAGCTTTTCAAGACAGCCGCAAACTGCCGCGGAGGATACTGAAAACGTGTTCAGCGCTCCGATCGCAGCCCGGCTATCCGACATATATATAGTTATTGAAGTCTATAAACTTACGATTATAGTTTTAAAGTAATTCTCATGTACTCAAAATTTCAATTCAAATGTAGTAATTGTATTATACTTTAGTACAACGTAATGCTTTAGTACAATGTAATACTTTAGTACAATGTAAGGCAGATACATTGTACTAAAGATTGAATCAAAAATTTTGTTATTGTTTGTAATATTACTTTCTTATTTATTTTATTGTTTCAAGTGTACCACAATTGGTTCGCAAATCGTATGTTGCCAAGCAGCATTTATTAGACATCACAAAATTTTTATTTTCATATAACTACAATTTTTTATTTTTTATCGTTAATTTTGATGATGTATTTTGAAAATTCCAGTATTTTTCATGGCCACCATGCGTAAAAGTGTAATAAATATATGTACAACATAAATATAATATATATGTATATTCATATATTATATATATAAGAGTTTTCTAAAAGTAAATAGGATAGTAGTTTTTAGTTAAACATTAACTCTTGTGACGTGTGAACGTATATACAAATATAATTCATTTTCTAGACTTCATTTTTTGCAAAAAATAAATAAATTGAAATCGAATTGATTTTGGAAAATTTATGATTCACAATAATTGCTTAAATAAAAATCTTATAAATTATTTTTGTGCTTATGTACATAAATTGGTACTTACATTATATATTCACAATTCTCCAATGGTTGTGTCCATTCCTGTGTCCTTCTTTCTTTCATGTCCTTCTTTGTCAAAATTGCATCGCCTTGTAATAGTCTCCGTATCACTAATAAGGGTGAGGTTGACGGTCGCCGGCGTGACAAGAATGTGCGAACAATACCTTTTTGAGAGGAGTTATTTCTATAATGTATAGATAATTCTCATTTAAGAAATCTCTAATTTTTAAATGATATGTATGTAAAATTAAAATGTATTTGAATTTGGATTTTTTTTTAAATTTGTTCAATGATTTTCAACGTCACATATTCTAATAGTATGTAACTATACTTGTACACTGTCTTTATATATCAAAGAAAAAGTAATGAAAACTATAATTAGGGCAATGTTTTTATATATACATTATAATACATATAAAATATATATATTCACTATATATGTACATACTTATGTATTAGGACTAGTTTGGAATAAGGAAATGAAAATGAATATATGTACAAATATTGATACTTAATTTATGTGATCTTCTCATATCGTGTTAGATTAAATAGAAAGAATAAAAATACAAAATATACATGGATATAGATAACTATTATAGTACGAGTATACATATAGAGAAATAGGCTGAAAATTACAAATGTTAGACTTGCCAAATGTAATATGTTTATGTATATAAAATATTAGACACTGCATAATATGTATTTACACATAGTGTAGAGATTATACATTTAAAAAAAATTTATAAACATAAAATAATAAATTTCCAAATAAAGTAACTTATCCGCTTTTTTTTACTATTTAAAATGCGTAAATATAAAATATCGTAGAACAGTGAATCTCAATTCTTATAAGTAAGAATATTGTGAATGACTATCATACTATGTAGATTACTGGTTTCTTCAGTGGTCATTGTGCTGTAAAATACTACTTGCACAAACTGATTAAATCGGACTTCCTCTTGTGTAGGTTCTGCCGGGATGAAGAGGTGACAGCCATACATATTCTGTGTGACTTTCCTGCTCTGACTATCAGGAAGTGTAGATGGTTTTGGACGAGGCTTTTTTAATGTGGAAGAGATCACGTCCAACTCCCTGAGGGATGTCTGCGGGCATTTGCTTGGAACCTTGGTAGTTTAAGTGGGATATAGGAGGGCTACAATAAGCCATGACTAGCTGCGGTGTCTGGAGAAAAGGAATTCCATTGCCTATGTCTCTCTTCGCCAATTGAAAAAATAATACTATGCACATAGTCTTCGTATAGTGTATGTCAAATTCTGAATGATGATGAATGGTGATTGCTCCTGAATATTCACAGACGGAAAAAAAGTCAAATAATAAAAGAGATGAATATTACCTACTTACGATATAAAGTAGATAGAAATGATCTGTTTTATTTTGATACACTCTGGAACAAATTTTCCATTGCTTGATATTTATTGAAAATTTTCTAATATTTTATAAGTGGCATAGGCACAACTACTTAGAAGTCACTGCAGTAGACTATCGCCTATAGAATGACAGATTTGAAATCTTTATATGGTACTATTAGTTTTTATTATGTTCAGTTTTCATTGCAATTATACTTTTTATCTTGTTAGCATAAACTTGTTGAATCTAAAAAGCGAAAAGTATAGGAATTAAAATGATTTTTTTAATTCTTTTTTTTCTTTTTCTATTAAATTCTTAAATTATTATTCAGATAATAATAACATACATATTGCCTATAACTCTTCATCTCTTAATATCTACATATGTATATAAATATAGTGTAAAAGATTTATTAATAATTGATCCCTCTTGCGTGTGCAATAAGAATTATATATACGCATAGTTCATTGATTCAAAGACAACAAATTTATTTAAGATGTTCATATAAATGTATACATGTTCATTAAATTAGTACATTTCATATTTGAAATTATTTATGATTCCGGTTACGTAAGAGAAAGTGGAATAAATATCACATAAACATATATGAACACGTTTTGTACAATAAAGAATATATTTATATATGTATGTATGTAGAACAAATAAAGAAGAAGATTTTAATAAAAATGAAAAGTTTATATAAGGTAATCAATTATTGAAAAGGTAGAAAAAAATAAGGAAACCTGTAATTTATAAGGATTTAATTTTGTAAACGGGTAAAGGAGTCTCAATTTTTTTTTAAATTATGGTGAAGTTGCCAATATACCATAATATGTAAAGATGTCACTTTGAAAAATTTTTTTTTCCTTTGAATGAGTAAATATAATTTAATTTGTAATAAAATTTAATAATTTAAGTTTATTTTGTTGGAGGAGTTTTATTAATTCTATGTTTTTGATTGCAAAAGCTCTAAAATTCTAATAATAAAATTCGAAATTAAATTAAAAAGTTAAAATTTATGACCATTATTTCTCTTTAAAATTATTTGATACACTTAATATTAAAATTAAAATATAGATGTCAGCTTGGAACACAAATAACTTTTAGTTCAATTTTCCAATTGCGGTGGCGTCATTTATTCCACCATAATTAGTGCAATGATGGTGAATAAATAATTCACAATTTAATTTGCTAATTTTATAAGTTTATAATAAAATTTTTATTTATAAATTTTTTTATTATTATTTATTTTAAATTTAATTCTTTTTTTATAATCTCAATATTAATATTTTATTATTCGATACGTCTTTTTTTCTTTTATTTCCATATCATGTAATATCAGCACTACAACAAATTTATAATATAGATAAAAGAAAATGCATTTAAATAGGCTGTGTAATATATTTATAGCAATATTAATAAATTATACAAAATCAAATGAAATATATAATACATTTGAAATAGATAAAAATTTAACAAATGCAAATATATTTAGTGAATTAAATGAAACACAGCAATCTACCAAAATTAATTTAGAAAAAGAATTAGAAAAATTAAATAATCATCCTGATAGTATATCAAATCAACCACATTCGAGAAAAAAACGTTTAATATGGATTACAGATGATGGAAGATTAGCATTACCACCAGGCACATCATTATCATTATCACCATCAATTTCATTGCCATTTGTACGACATCCGCCCGAGGGTTTTTTATCAAATTTATCAATAAATTTTCCAGTTACAAGTAAATTTTCATCAAATTTATTAAAATATTATAAAAATAATTTTTTCATTCTAAATTTTAGTTGACTTTGATAAATTGGGTTTGACTGATAATCAAAATCCATTAGGAGATTTACCACCAATATTAGCAAGATCTTTTGGAAAAGCAGCAGGAAGCATGTTAAGTTAGTAAAATAAGATTTGAAAAATTATTATTAAAAATTTGTAACTTAATTTAAAATTTGATTTGTAGGTAGTTACGTAGCTGACTTTGTCAATTTTAGAAGATCAAAAAGAGATTTAAGTAATTATGAAGCAAATGGTATGAAATCAGAATTCGATAGTAAAAATCAAAATAGAAAAGAACCATCTTTACCAAATAATTATAAACATGCTTTTCATGGAGGAGAAAGGTAACCTATTAAAATTATTAAGTTTATATAGATAGTTATATGTAATAAATTATGGATTGATATGAATTCCATATGGATTCCACAAAACCATTTAAATGTAGATCTAACGTCAACTTCATTTGACAATAATAATTGCACTCCATAAATATGTTAAATTAAATTAAATGATAGATTTACTTTGAGGATTATATTACATTATTTAAATAGAATTATCTTTGAATAAATTCTCTTATAACTTTTATATTTTTTATTTTTTTATATTTATCAATTTTTTTTTTTGTTTTAGGGTTTTAATTTACGGTGCAATAGAAGATTTATTAGAAAATTTTGGTGTTAATGGGAAAGCATGTTTATTACGAACAATATGTGAAGTTCATTCAAAATCATTAAATAATTTTGGTTTAATAGGTGAAATTACAAAATTATTTTTAACGTAAGTACATACTTTAATCGGCAAGTACAATAATTCCATAATTATATAATGAATATATATTTAAATTTACAATCAAATATTTTAAATAAAAATTGTATATTGCAATTTATAATTTATTAACTTTTTCTGCATTATATTTACAAAAACAAAGGGCTTCACTATCTCCATTTTCTGATCATATCGGAGAATATGTTGAAGCTGAAGAAATTGGAAAAGGAAATATCAAACCTGGAGAATGTTTCCCATATTATAAAAATTGTCCGAAAAGTATATTTAAAACATACAAAAATAATTACGGGTAAGTAAAATGAATATTAAACTTGAATGAATATTTTTTAAAATAAAATCGTTTTTTTCTTTGTAGCAAAATGAATAATTTAGATGATGACAAGGAAACAAAGGAAAAATTAATAAAATCTACGAAAAAACCAACTTTAAATAAAAGTACAAGCTACAAAAAAGGCGATAATTCAAAATCATTTAATAATAAAAATATGGTTTTAATGAAAAAATAATTGAAAAAGATATTAATAGGTTATTTTAATTAAAAGAAAATAATATTTATTATTTAAATCGAAATTCTTAAGTAATTCAATAACTTTTACTAAAATATATCGGTAAAGCTCTCTTTGACAATTAATGTAAAAAGAAAAAAAAGCAAAATTATGTAGGTATGAAGTTTTTAGAGTTTCCCACTTAAATTTTTTGTTAGCTATCACAAAAAGTAATATTAAGTCGTTCCATAATGTTGTAATACGGGGTTTACACATCATCAGGGTAATATAGTTATGGACGTCTAATGTATAAGTGCATTTCAGCAATACAATTTAAATTCTATTAAAGTTGAATTAACTTAAATTGTTTTGCTGGATAAATCTTGTTGACCTTACATTTGCGTTTAAATGTTTGTTCAATGAATACGGAAATTGTTTAAAATATATAATGATCCACTAATAAATGAATTAAAAAAAATTTGGAACTTAAATCTTTTCTTTTATTTTTGTTATTGAACCAAGTAACCATTTAATAGTAAATAAAATAAATATCACATAATCAGTAGCCAAATTTATTTTTCAATGTAAATTATTTTAGTTTTTCTTATTTATTGTACTTATTATATAGTTTTATTTTGTTTTTATTTTGTTTAATATATTTTATTAGTTATATAATTATCTATTGATGTTATATTAGAATTAATATTTATTTAATAATTTTTAATTATTGTTGTTAAATTTTAACTATAAAATAATTTATTTTTGAGTCAATAATGATAACAATTACTTGTGTTTTACTTATAAATAAAATTGAATTAATAATGTATATAATTAATAGATAATTTTAATATACTGTTATATTATATAATTAAGAATTATTATACTATTGTTAAATAAAGTAAAATATTAAAATATATTAATAAAAAAATTTTATTTTTTATAATATTAAGTTTAACCTAATAAAATGTTGACGAAAAGTAGATCAAATTTATGGATTAAAATAATATTGTAAACTTCAATATATATAATGTATTACACACATTATTTATAGCATGATTATTTGATATAAAATACTATACATATAGGTCTACAAAAATGCATACTTTTTGACGTTAAGTTTACATTCTACTTTCTAGCTAGATAGTCAGAATTTATCTTAGTTTTGCATTTTGGTAAGCAACAAAAAATAAGGATACCTTTTTTATCAATATTTTAAAAAATAAAACCAAGTAACACAAATCTTAATTTTATTTTTTAGTGTAAGAATTTTGTCTCTTAAAACTGAGCGTCAAAATCCAAGCCGAAAAGTTACGCTTCAATTAACTTAAGTTTAAAAGTTAAATTATCCAAGATTTTTGATTTCAATTATTATTTTCAACCAAAATTATTTTGGGTATGTTCAAAATTGCATTTACAACACATCGCACACATTGTATCATCTTCCAAAACGACAATAAAGAAATTTAACGATGTGTTATACTAAAGACGATAAAAATTTTTTAAAATCTTATAGGTACTCAGAATTTATTTAATGTTGTGTCTCAGACGTTTTTAACACTGAAATATCTGTCAAATTGTGTATCCGAAAATTTTGCATGTTTTGTTTCATATTTTAAAAGTCAGAATGGATGAATTTAAGTTACTAAGTCATTTTTTGTTAAATAAGTAGAAATTTTGAAATTAAAATAAATTAGAACAAAAAAATTTTTTAATCAAAGCAAGGAATGAAATTGAATGATACAGTGCATCAAAAATTTTAAGTTCTGAAATGTAAAATAATGCAATATGTTTAAGCAATTGATACAATGTCTCAAAAATTATATTGAAATTTTTTTTATTGGATGATTTCGAAGAAATTCTTATGACCTTTATTAATTATGTACTACAAACTACAAATATATTTTTGTGGCAAGTGTTTTTGTTTCAAATATTTTGAGAAAAATTTCAAACTTTCTTTTTGACAGAAAAATGAATCGTTGGTTAAGTGAGTAAAACAACTTTTTGAGTGAATATTTTTCTATTGCATATTGAATAAACCCATTTCTATCAAATATGTAGCATAAATTTGACATCTTTCAAAATTTGACAGTAAAACATAACCATAAAATCAGTATTTAATATTTATTTAATAATCAAATAACAACAATAAGGTATAGCTATGTTGAAAAATATTTTAGTAAATATTGCATGATTTTTTATGGCTTATTTATAATTTCGAAGTGCGAACTGCTAAATTATCTATTAAAATTGGGAATTTTGTAATGGCCGAAATTGATACATCGAAAAGAAAACCACGTAGAACTGCTGGAACTCCTTCTTATTACTATAGAAATAGATTTGCGGCCGCTGTAATTGTTAGTGGAATTGCTTTGGCTGGACTTTTATAGTAAACCTAAAATATAATATTCAGCAAAATAATTCCTTATAATTTGCTTGAAATTTTAGCTTACTTCCACCCGTAAGGAAAGCAAATGAAAAGCTTCGGAAATATTGCATGGAACCTGATATTGAATTCGAAGAAAGAAGACAACTTATGGGATTTTTACCGCCCAGGCGAGGGGAAGATATTCTAAAAATTTTAAAAGAAAGTCAAGATTTAGATAAAGATCGTTAATGCAATATAACACACGAAAATGATTAATAAAGAAAAATTGAATAAGTTAAAACTGACTGAATTAAATAAACGGTATGTTTGTTATTAATGATTAATAATGTTAATAATTAATTAATTAAATTGTAGTTCATATAGTTGTGTAGAATAAAATTGTACAAATATAAAAAAAAACATAGTTTGTCATTTATTTGTTTGTCTTTTTTTCTATTTTAGTAACCAAAATCAAGTATCTAAATTTTTTTCAACCCAAAATACAAATGAAAACGATGAATCGGAAGACCTTTTTCGCCTAAAATCTATTGAATCTAAGGCAAAACATCTGCTAAGGGAAACTGAATCCGCTTTAAACATAACAGAAGATGAGAATCAAATACTCTCTCATTTAGAAAAATCGAATGAGCAAAATAATAAAAATTCTTCAATGGAAAACTCTGTTGTATGTGAACGGAAGACTGTAATATCTAAATTTTTTGATAGTAACTTCGATGATTTTCAATCGTGTACTAGAAAAGAAAGAAAAACAACGAAAACTTTAAAAGAAAAGCTAATAAAGAAGAAAACATCTTCAAAAGAAAAGAAAAAACAAACCACAATTAAAAGTGCTTTCGCAAAAAATGAAGAAGTTTTCTCAGAGTTGATGGCTCAGCATAGTATAGCAGAAAATTTTGATCCAGAAGATATGCAAGTAGCATTGGCATGTTCGATGTCTGAAGCAGAAATTCCTTCACTAAATAGCGAATCAAATGATAACTTAACTTGTACCTCTAAAAATGTTGATAAAATACGTGAAAAATTAGAACAATACGGGTTTAGAATTAATTCTAATAAAGAAGGTAATATATTTTTACGTACAAATATTTAATCAATTTTAAATTAAAGCAGGTAAAGAGATACAAATATATTTACATACATATATAGATATATAACTCAAATTTAAGATTGCATCCTAATCGTGACTTGCAATCTATATCATGTCTTTATCTAATCTATCTAATAACAATATTTACATACGATATGTTATTATAAATGTACTTACATGATAGTGGATTGTATTTTATATGAGTTTTTTTATATATGTGTGTACATAACCATATGTATATGAGTGGAGTATATGCATACATGCAGATATGTATGTACATATTTTAAATTAAAAAAAAGTTGTGAAATAACATTTTAATAATACAGATTATGATATAAACTTTATGATTTTAATATTACAGATTATGATATAAACTATTTCTTACCTAAAAGTATAAAAAAGGCTAAATGGGCTAATCGATTTACATCTCTAACACTTCGATGCCCAAAAAAGCAGAACCAAAAATTGCATGAAAAAATTGAACAATTTTTGAGTACCCAATTCAGTGAAGAGGAAAACTGTGAAGAATCACCATTCCAATTTAATATTTCAAGCCCATATTTAGAAACATTAATACCAGAAATTGATACTATAAAGTTTTTTCGCAAAGGTTTATATATGGATAATGAAAATGATGACGTAGAAATATTTTATGTGTCCGAACTATTTGAGCCCCGAAAAAGTAAGCCTGGCTCTTTACTAAAAAATTTTAAAAATATACCAGGTAGGGACTTGTCACCAGTTAGAAATATGCCAAAAGTTCCACATGAATTGGAAGAAAGAAAATATTCATCAACAGAAAATGCAGAAGAAAATGTGCAATGCATAGAAAATGAAAATAATAAAAATTATGAAATATCAAATATTAAGTTAGCAACAAAAAATACTGAAATTACTGATACAATTGAAGATGAGAATGCCTACTCTATCCAATTCGAGAACAATTTTGAAAATGAAATGAATAAGAATGAGAGTTTGAAACGAGGCAGTTCCGAATCATCACCAGACTACAAACGTCCTAAATTGGAATCATTTCTAGCAGAAATCGAGAGTAAAAGAACTGATAGAGCAGATTCTCCTGATATATTTAATAATTCTGAAGGAGATTTGGGTATATTTGAAATATAATACACATAGATTTTTATCTAACTGAAAACTTATTTTATTTACATAATATGGGCACAGAAACATCGGCTACAAAAAATGATAGTACTGAATTAGACAGAATTCACGTATATGAAAAGTTTTCAAGTGATGAAGGTAGTATATTTTAAATTTGCCTTTGAAAACATTTAAATATTTTAAAAACAAATTTTAAATAGCAAAGGTTTCTGACGAAACGTGTTGCAACAAAATACAAAAACATAACAAATGTAAGTCTCTATGAAATCAATTTCAATATTGAAACTTTTAAGTTAATTAAAATATAATACAATATATTTTTTTTAATTAGCACAAATAGAAATAAGTAATGTAGTTGATTTAACACAAAGTGATGAATCCATGTCAGAAATCAGATATGAACAAGCAGAACCAATAAATAAAACATGTGAAAGCCCCTATTATTTAAATAATGAAATACATAAAATTCTTGAAAATTGTGATATAAGAAATAATGCCACTCAAAATCATTTTTGTGATAACAACTTTTCCGATAAAAATTTAAAAAATGAACTAGATATTGCGAACAAGAAAATTTCAACTTCTACTAAATTTTTAGAAAAAATAAGTGAAACTAAAAATGAAGATTATTCTAATAATAAAAATTTTAAAAAATTATTTCAAAACGATTCCAAAAGTTTAACACCTTGTTTTAAGCCAAGCGAAAATATAAATTCAGAAAATCATTCAAATAACTTACAAAACGATTCTGTTAATGAGTTTTGCATTATCTCTTCCGAAGATGAAGATACCGCTTCTTATCCAGATGATGGGCAAATCAAAAATTTAAATAATTCAAATATATTAAGTAAAAAGAAATTTTCATTTTCGATCCACAATAACTATATGGAGGATTCACACATTATTGTTTCAGATGATAATACAACTAACTCAGGATTTGAATCAGATAATAATTTAGAAAATATTGAAGTAAACCTTCATCAATATAGTCAGTTTTCAGTTGCAACAACTCCAGTTAAGCATTCACCTAAAAACTTGGAGAACTTAGGTGATCACTTAGAATTGGGCGAAGAAATCAAAAATGAGGAATTTAGCAATTTAACAGTCAAGCAGCTTTCGGCATCATCTCAATCAAGTGATTTAGATGATTCATGTATTATACTTTCAGATGACGAAGTAAACTATTCTATATTAACCTCCGCTAAAAAAAATATAAATAAAAATTCAGAGATCTTTAAAAACAATTTTGATAAAACTATTAAATCCGGAAGCGACTCTTTTGGTCAAGGAAATATTTCTCTTATAGATTTCTGTGATATAGACATGATTAAACCGTCTAATATAAAATTGAATGATGAGGTGAATAACTCTCATTTAGAAGTATTAGAAGAAAATTTGTCTGATTCATCGAATTTTGAATTGAAATTGACTCCAGAAAATGTAATTAATTTTTCAGTTAATAAATCATTAGAATTACAATCACCTCTCAAGAATCGTAAAAATGCAACGCAGAATGAAAATTCGATCAATCAAGGGAACAAAGGTGAAAGTTTTATCATTTCAGATGTAGAAGATGAAGATTTTGATCTTAATGTATTACGAAAAAAATATGGATTACCAATCATTGAAAAAAAGTCAATTCCACAGAAATCAACCGGATGTAGAAAAAGCTTATCTGAATCATTTTCGAAAAATGAAGCTATTACTCCTAGTTTGCAGCGTTTTAAAACATTTGGAACACATTCGATAAATACAAAAAAATTTAATAATTCATGTAAAGAAATAGAAAATGAAGATTCAGTAATTTCTAATGAATTTGATGAAATTGATAAACTAATATATGGTAGCCCAAATAAATGTTTTTCGTTAAAGAATGAAAGACCAAGTAATTTTGAAAATTTATTAACTGCAAAAATAAATAGAATTTCACCTATAAAACTAAATAAAGCTATTGAACCATTTGAGTTTGAAAACGGTGGCAAAATATATCTTATAAAAACACAAAATATTGAACAAAAACCCGATTTCAAAAGAATGAATTCCCCAACACGAATCAAATATTTATATAACTATGGTTTAAAGCCATTAAAAAGGAAGCAAGCAATTATTATGTTAGAGCACATTTATAACCAAACTCATCCAATATTGGAAAATTTTGACTCAAATACAAAAATCGAAACGGAAATTAAAATTGAAAACGAAAATTTAAATTTTCAGGAAAATATTATTGAAACTGATTATATCAAAAAAGTTGAAAATGATAATTGTAAAATTTTCGATGGTAATCATCTTAATTTGAAAGACTATTTTTGGGATGAAATTGATATTTCTGAGGAAAAGTTAATATTTGATGATAAAAATGAAGAATCGTATATATTTCAGACCAACACAAGTAAAAAGGTATGTGGGAAAATTTAGTTATAAAATTAGTTTAGCAAGAATTTTTTTATTAAATCTAGGTATCAACCGCATTACTTCCTTTTCATATTGCATGGTTTAATTTATTTAGAAGCAATTTACAACTAAGAGAAGCAATTTTTCATTTCGAACCAATTGATCTTCAGGAAATCTATAATTTTTTCAAATCTATAGGTTACAGATATGATCCAAGGGACATAAAAAAATTTTTGGATGAAAAATGTATAATCTTTCGCTATGATGTAGGTAATAATAATGTAAATAGACATAAAAGGAAAAATAAAACTTAAATTTTTGTTTAATAATACATATGTATGTTAATAAATTTAGTTCTTTATGATATTTTTGAATTTGCACATTGAAATTTTTAATAAAAATTTAAGAAAATATACATTTATTTTATTTAATAATTGCATATCGTTATAGATAAAACAAAACACATTGAAATACATAAGAACCTATCACTTATAGATAAATGAAAAAATAACTCGAAAAATCATTAGTCTACGTAGAATGTAATATAAAGTCCAAATATTAAATAACTTATCAACTACTAAGCCTCTGTTTTTTAACGGGGGAGACCAAAATTGGTTGGAGAGATGAAGCTTTAAAAATGCTATCTTCTGACTTTTTGTATTCAGTATTGATTGCATCAAGACCAAGATTTGCATCTAATACTAATACTGGAACATGTGACATGAAATTTTTATGTATTAACCAATTCTCATGAAGTTCATGCAATTCTTGCAAATATTCCAATGGTACACAACTTTCTTCTGATCTTGCCCTACACATCATCCTATCATATACAACTTCAGGGGTTGTTCTCAAGTACACAATTAAATCAGCTTGAATGTGAATAGATTTATCAATAAATTCATACCACTCTTTTAAAATCTGATACATGCCCGGTGCAATTGTTCCATTTTTATGCATATTTTCTACAAAACAATATCTTGCACTAAATATTGATCTCTCCATTAATTTAACTGATTTGTCAGTTGGCAATGTATGAGATTGTAACATTGTAAGTGTCACATAATTTTGAAATGGATGTGCCCACCGATGTGGCTCTTTATACATCAAATCTAATAAATTTATTCCAGCACAATTCCTCCATTTATCAACAGGTTCGGTTATTAAACAAATATCCTTGTATTTCTGAAAATGATTGAGGAAAGTAGTTTTTCCACTTCCAATATTTCCTTCTATTAAAACTGTAAATGGTTGTGTACCTTAATCAAAAAAATAAAAATAAAGTAGTACTTTAATAAGAACAAGCTTTTAAATTTTTGACACACATTTTGGAAGCTATATATATGAAAGTTAAATTAATATAATGAAAGTTCAATGTAACGCACGTAAGAACATATTTATGATTCACCCAATTATGTAAATATTTATTGAGATAGGTAAGTTAAACAAGATTCTCCTAGTAAAACACTTGAACTCAAGCTGTATATGTATAAATTTCATAAATATACATACATGCATTCATTCATATGCAGGTATTTCGTTCTTACCTTCACCATACTTTGGGAAAACTTTGTTTGAATATCCTGATTGTGCCATTGTCTTAAATGCTGCTTTGTCCTTAGTTTTCAAATCTGACACAAATCCTAAAAAATTAAGAATAAAAATTTTAAAAATTCTTTAAAAATTAATTTTTTTTTTTAATTACAAGAGAAATCGATATGACTTGTACAATTTCCAATTTAGAAATGAATTAAATTAGCGCGAATAAAATTTCCCGCGCCCGCGGTTTTTTGTTTTTTAAAAAAAGTTTCGTTTTATTTATAAACGAAGAAAAGGCAACGATCGATACAAAATTTAACGATAAACACCGAGACAGCTGTTTGTATCTATTAGTATAAAAAATTACTGGAATAACCACATACAATTCTGCAAACCACAAATACAAAATGCATTTTTATATCGTAAAAAACAAAAATTTGTAAAATTTTTTTGTAATCATATTTTAATCGTGCTAATTTATAAAATAACAAATTTTAAATGATTTGTCACCTTTTCAATGGAAATTATTCAAAACATTCAAATTTAGTCTAAATAGTTTAAAAATTTCAAAACATAAAAACTTTTAGTTTACAACTTTTGGTTATAATTTTAATAACTAATTTTTATAGGTATAAGTACAAACTTACTTTTTTGTGCAATTCTTTTATTAGCCCTCAAAGGCCAGCGAATTGTGAATGTGCAAATATATTTAAAAACCATTGGCTCAATTTCTAATTAAAATCAAATAATCAATATTTTTTTTATTCATTGAGAATCATCAAAACCAAATTGCAAATTCTAGCAATTATTTGTTAAAAGTTAAATACGATAAACTCATATGTACTTTATTTTTTTGACAAATTGTACCAGCTACTAATCAAATTTATAAAAATGAAAACATTGCATTCTTCTTCCTAGTTCCTTGCTATTGAAAAATAAGCGTTGCCATGCAAAATGAGCAAATTAAAAAAACAAGCCAACCTGGCTAAGATTACGTCAATTATTTTGATTACTGAGAAATGGTATGTATTTCAAAAGAGTAAAATACATTAAGTTTTTTGTTTTATTAACTTCTTAACTAATGAATTCAAACTCTTATTTGGTTTTTATTTCAAAATTATTTTTATTGAAATATGTATATGCTTTGAAATTCTGTTAAAAAAATTAAAAATAATCATTATACAGAAATACCACTGGTGAACGGGCTTCTCTCTGTTACTCTCTATTCGCAGGTTTTTAAGTGGAAGAGAAGAGAATGATCAAAACTCAGTAACGGTTCCCGAAAAGTTTCTTAAAAGACATGCTTAAGAGCTTAAACTGACAACTCTGAATTTTAATCAAATTCAACCGCTCAGTAAAAGAAAACGTCCATTCCTGCCTCTTGTATTGTGTGAAAAGCAAATTAACGAACCAAATTTCTCTATTCAATACACATGCTCTTTTGTATAAAACAAGTTAAGAAAGGAGGAAATTGCGGCAAGTAATTATTCATCATTTATTATTTTATTAAACTTTATATTAATTAATCGATTACAGATTATTCCATTTTTTATTAATGACACTATTTTAATTATACTAATATGACATTATTTTAAAGTGAATAGTAAGGCTGCTGATCGAGTATCAAAATTTTGGCGCTACACACGCATTTAAGGTGGAACCAAAATTCAAAAAATTTGTTTTCATTGTTTTGACGTTTGACTTCATATTATTAAATTCGAAAGCAATAAAATTTCATAGCTATTATTAATCTTGCTTTTTTTAGTGTTGTGTCGCTTTTATATATTGTTGAAATAAAACGTTGCACTAATTTTGTACAGACCTTCGTGCAAAACTAATATTATGAAAAATGATATAAACAAAAACAACAAAGATTATTTGAATCGAAGAAGTTTAATGCGGCTTTCATCAAAGTGAAGAGTCAATCTAAAATCAAATATTTAAAGTTTAAAAGAACTGATGAATAAAAAGTTTTGAAAAATGCAATGCAAGATGAAACTAGATAAGCTAAGCTGCTGTCCCGTTGCAGTTTCTTATGAAATATGGGATATTATAAAAATAATAACTCCATTGGGACTTAATTTATATATTTATAATTTGTCACAACATTACTTGAATTCGTCAAACAACATTTTGAAAACTTTTTTAAATGAAGTTATTTTGATTATTCTCCCGATTATATTACATTTAACTTTTACACATCTTTGGTCAAATCATGTTATAGTAATTTATATTTTAGTGAGTCTTTTTGCTATTATTTACCGCTTAAAGGCAAATTTAAGATGGAAGTTCACATCAACTGAATTGAATTTAACTATTTGTCGAGCTCGTTCGTTTGTTTTTATTATAACTGCAGTTGCAATTCTTGCTGTAGATTTTCCTCAATATTTTCCCCATTCGATGACAAAATCTGACTATACCGGTATAAGTTTAATGGACACTGGAATCGGATATTTTATATTTTGTATCGGCATTGTTAGTAAACACGAGAACCTACAAAAATGTATGAAAAAATCTATTCTTTTAATAGTTATGGGAGCAGCCAGAACTTTACTAATAATTTTATTCAAATATCATCAATCGGAGCTTGAATATGGAACCCATTGGAACGCATTTTTTACAATTGGCTTTACGCAGCTATTCGGAAATTTAATAATTCATTCTCTAAAGCACAAAAAAATAATTGCTGGTTTTGGAATATTTTTAGTACTTTTTCATGAGATAGTCTTACAAAAATTTTTATTTGCATATGTGATGAACGGTGATAATCCCAGAGATAATTTTATTTCAGCAAATCGTGAAGGTCTTGTATCTACAATTGGTTTTTTGGCGTTTTATCTTATATGCAACTCATTTAGTTTTACAAAACAAAATATTAAAAGCATTTTTCATTATATATGCAAGACATTTTGCATATCTTTTACCAGTTTAATCATTTTATTAATTTTATTATTTTATAGTAATTGTAATATAGCTAGAAGAGTTGCAAATTTAGAATATATACTTTTTATGATATTTTTAAGTTTCTTTACATTGTTCTTAATGCTTGTAGCCGAATTTTTATCAAGTGGATTGAATGTAAAATATGAGAATCAAATTTTTGTTGTAATTAATTTCAATGGCTTGATATTTTTTCTAATAACGAATGTATTAACTGGAGTAGCAAATATGTCTTTTGATTTAAAAAAATTTACATTTTTAGAAATGATAATTTTACTATGCAGTTATATGGTTTTAAGCTACTTAATTACATATTTATGGAAGAGATATTTTTACACAAAATTAGTTACTAAAAAGAATGTATAAATTTGACAAAATTGGAATAAATATTTGAAATTATTACAATTGTTAAAAAAATTCCTTATACGCATTATGAATGGCAAAGGTATTCAGGATCTTTTAAAATTGAAAATTAGGTTTAATTTTTCGTCTGTTCTACAATAATTGTAGATTAATTATTAATATGTATCTCCATTTTGTATTACTAAGTTGAAAATGATTCACTGCATGATTTTTTGATACAATTCAACTTACACGTTAGAAGTTCCATGTTTTTTTTTATTCATCAAAACATTACCCTTATACATTAGTGGTATAAAACATACTTAATATATTTATCTTTATCTACTTTAGCCAAAAAAAATTTAGATAAGCTTTCATATATATCTCTTTTTTTTATCATATTGTTAATCTATTAAACATTTAGGTAGATAATATAATTCTTAAGATAAGTTTAATTTATAAATGAATTGTGATGTCATAAAATTAAATATTATAATCATCAATAGCTTCAGCCTCTATTTTATTTAAATTAAAAACGATTATGTTTATGTGTATACGCTTTATTAACATTATCACATTAATATATTAAAAAATGTTTAAAAAATTTTTTTTAATAATTAAATTATTAATTTATTAAAATAAATTTAATTTTAAAATAAATTTTATGTAACAATTAATATTGCTACTCTTAATAAAATTTGTTAATAAATTCTTTAAAAAAAAATTGTTTTTATGTTATTTAAAATCTTTACTTAATTTGTAGAAAAATTAACCAAAAACATAAACGAAAAATAATAAATAGAATTATTTTTCCTCTGAAATTTGTTTTTCTAATAAATTTTTTCTTTCTTCCAATCTAGTACATTTTAAACAGATTGAATTTTTTCTGATCCAACAAGCTCGATGGGTAATTGAATTACATTTGGTGCAATGAATGCAACCATCGTCGTAAGGGTATAGTACTTCTTTATTATTGCATATTTCGCATATATAAGCTTTGCCAGAACAAATTTCACAATTTCTTATATGTTTATCAAAAGTATCAAATAATTTATTTAGAAAATCAAGTAAATCACCAGACTCAGCTTGTATCAAATCAGCTAAAGAATATACATCAGGTGTTTGAATTAAATGCCGTTTATTGCCTACAAGATAAATAATTTTTTCAAATGTTTTCTTAAGTAAAGAATTTATATAGAAATTTAAAAATGAAATATTTACCAATATTATGATCTATTAATTTTTCTTCGCAAGATATTCTGCATTCAGATAAATACTTTCTCATAAATTGCAAATTTTCTCTAATTTTTTTTATTGTTCCCAATTTTTGTAGAAAATGAAACAATTTAGGATTCATTTCCTCTAGTTTTATCAACGGTTTATCTATCGTTAGAGTTATTTCTTGAAATGAAGCTCTACACACTTTTCTTGAAGAGAAATCCCAATTATGCACAACTCTCGCTGGTATTAATATATAATCGTTCCAATGACATGTAGGGCAATAAAATAATCCACTGTAGTCACATAATCTTGGTTCCAGCCAATAATTATCTATTCAAAAAATTATTTTATTAATTTTTTTTTTATAAATTAAATCCTTTTTATATATTTTTAAAAAACTATGGAGAGATTCAAGCTAAAATTGATTTTGGCAAAAACTATTAGTAAAGGTATAAGTACCTTGTTTTACTTGGTTACCAAAACAAGTCATATTTTGAGGAAGATCTTGTGAGTTGCAAAAACAAAAAAGAAAACAAAAACACAAATATAAATAAAACACATTTGAACAAAATAAATTACGAAACAAAAAAATAGTAGTAAGAATTTTAAGAAGCTATAAAATTTTAATTAAGCAAGTTTAATTGAAAACAAATTGATTTGTAAATGAAAAGTAGTACCTAATAGGAAAGTAGTACGATACGAGTTTTAAATTTTTTTCAGTAAACATGTTTTTTTTTTTAAGTGTTTAAAATTATTATACTTACTGAAAGTCAAGGGAGTTTGACATTCTGCACATTTATAATTTTGCGCAGCTAATCCAATTTCAGGACATATTTCTAATATGGGAAATTTTCTTTCACTTAATTTTACATGAGCACATATTCTAATAACATTGTCAATACATTTCTGATGCACGACAAAACCGCAGTCAGAGCAAATATATGATGATTGTACAACACTCCAAACAATACCTAAAATAATATAATGGTTAGGTACATTATCAAATGAATGTATATTAATACGTTGGTTTATAGGTAGGTACCTACCTAGTCAGTTTCATTAAAAATTATTCTCAAAATAACTTTACCAGTGCAATGATCACAATATTGTCTCCCTTGTGGTAATCCTCTTGATTGTCTTACTGTAAAATGATGTCCTAAAAGAACTTTTTTTTCGGGATAAACAATTTTTGAATCATTTGAAGCTTCGAGCAGTTCTTTATAATGGAATCGTAGTTCGACTAAGTGACGAACTAACCATTTTCTCTCTTCGGTGCACTCTTCTGTTTCCATAACTAGAACTTTACATTTTTCAATTGCAATTTCCAATTCATTCAAGCTTGCCTCATGACCTATCACATTTTATTATATGAAAACTTTTAAATAATAGTACAAGTATTCATGAAATTACCTAATACTAATTGCCATTGCTCTTTTATCAAGGTTGCAGGAATTGCCTGGGATTTTTCTGAACTATTTTCTTCTGTTGAAGATGTTGCTGTTGGCGTAGAACTTTGAAACATAGGTAAATTATCAGAATTTTCATATAAAAAAATATTTGTATTATTTATACGTAACAGCAAGATGTTTGTCTTACCTGTAGCCTAAATACGATGTTATAGGATTTTCAAAGGCAATATTTGCTATTGAGCCAGGTATACTAGAAAGACTTTCTCTTAAAGAATTCATACTTTTTATCCGAACATTAAAAAATAAAGAAAATGTTTAAATTTGATAACTTTTATCAATTTTTATTAAAAGAATATTGTCATCTTTGTTTTGAAAAATATTTTTTTAATATGCCATATGATTTATAGTGGACTACATTACTACAATACTACATTATTAACGAAATGTGTCGCATTTTATTATTGTTTTGATTTTTAATTTTAAATGTTTTTGGCTGCGTTTTTTTTAAACTAATTTATATTTTTTTTACAACTTTACCAACTCAACCTTATTTTAAATTTTGTATTTGTAAAAATGATTTATTTGGAATTTATGTTTGAATAAAATTGAGAAATATTACTTATTTCCAGATTAAAAGTTAAAGTAAGATCACTCTCTTAATATATAAAGGAAAGTTGCAAACTGACGTTCACGCAATGTTTCGTTAATTTTGACTGTTTTTTTTTTTCGGCCACCCGCAGTAGTTAACTATTCCCGTCAAAGCTCCAATATTAATGACATTTGAAATTTGACATGTTTATATTATGATTTTGATTGCCAAAAAAACGTGTTAAATATTTAATTAGTTTCTTTGGTTTGAAATACTTTCAATTTTTTGATCAGAAAGAATTTAAATTTTTTTCGCAATATGGGAAAAATTTCTCTTTTTGAAAATGAATCCGCCTCAGAAGATGAATTGGAGGTCAAATTTAATCCAGAATATGCAAAGTCTTATAACAAATTAAGGCAGAAAGAGTTGCTTAAGAAATGTATGTATACTTATAAAAAAATTTTAATATTGCAAAGAAGGCAATTATTTTTTAATTTTAGTAAAAGATGAAGATTCAGATAGCGATTCCGAAGAGTCTGATTCTAGCGAGGACGAAGAAGACATAGATCCTGAATTTGATAAGGAATTTTTTAAAACGCTGTCATCATTAAAAAGTAAAGATCCAAAAATTTATGACAAGGAAACAAAGTTTTTTAGTGAATTAAAAAGTGACCAAGGTTTAGAAGATTCAAAAAGCAAGAAATTGAAACCGTTAATGATAAAGGATTATGAAAGAAAAATAATATTGGAAAAGGGTGGGAAATTCGAAGATGATGGTAGGAAATTTATTTTATTCCTATATTTATGTTAAAAAAGAAATTTTTTTTTAAAGAATCTGAAGGAGAAACAAAAGTTGAGCGACCGCTGTCACCAAGTTACGTAGAAGAGCAAAAAAAAATTAAAGCACAAATTTCTAAAGTTTTGAACGAAAGTGACGAAGAAAATGAAGATTTTGGAATGATTTTTAAGAAAAGGATTAAGTCTAAAGAGGAGAAGGTATGTTATTTTTATTTTAAAAAATTTTACATGTTTTCAACATTGAAATTATTAAAGGATAAAGAAGATGAAGAATATATACAGTGGCTGGCTGGTCAAAAAGACGATGTTGAAGAGTCTACAAAGAAAAGTTTAAGACCTCTTAAACAGTTCTGGGACAATCCTGAGCTTCCAAAAAACGAAAAATTTTTAAGAGATTATGTTTTAAATAAAGGATACATTGATACAGATATTCATGAAATACCGACTTATGAAGAAATTGTTGGTGATGCAAATTTAAGTGAAGATGAAAAAGAATTGGAGAAACAAGCAGAATTTGAGCAGAAATATAATTTTCGTTTTGAAGAACCTGATCAAGAGTTTATAAAAAGATATCCCCGTACAATTGAGAACTCTGTGCGTAGATCTGATGATAGTCGCAAAAGAAAAAGGAATGAAGCTAAGGAAAGAAAATTAAAAGAAAAAGCTGATAAAATGAAAGAATTAGAGATTTTGAAAGAAATGAAACGAAAGGAAATTGAAGATAAAATAAATAAACTAAAGGAAGTCACGGGTAATGAAAATTTAGCATTCGAAGAAAATGAATTGGAAAGTGATTTTGATCCGGAAACACATGATAAAAGAATGAAGGAAATATTCAACGAAGAATATTATCAAGTTGATGAAGGGGAAGAAAAGCCAAGTTGTCCTGATTTAGAGGAGTTGAAAATCGAAGATTGGGATAATTTTGATCCAAAAAAAGAAGATGAGGATGACGAAGATAATTATGAATTGCATTGTGAAGATGAAAATTTTAACATGGATTGCGACTATGATCCGAACTCGAAGGAAAAACTGCAAAAAGAGCTAATAGAAAATATCAAAGGCAAACGTAAACGTAGACGTAGAAATAAATTTATGGAAATGATAAAAGAAGAAAAACCTGTTTTCGATCCAAAAGATGAAAAAACTTACGCTCAATATATAGATGAATATTATAAAATGGATTGTGAAGATTTTATTGGAGATATGCCCTGTCGCTTCAAATATGTAGAATGTGAACCAAATGATTTTGGCTTGACAATCGAAGAAGTATAATATACACTAATGTTTTAAAAGAAAATTTACAATTTTTTTTTCTTATAACAGATTTTATTAGCTAAAAACAAAGAACTGAATCAATGGGCAAGCCTCAAAAAAGCTGTTCAAATTAGACCATCCCATATAGATAAAAAGGAGCGACGTTTATATCAAATGAAGGCTCAAAATGAAGCATTAAAACGAAAAATATTTACAAGTCTATATGGAGAACCGTATACTATACAATCAAATGTTAAAGTTTCTAAAAAATTTTAAATGAATTTTCCATTTTTAGATCTGATGAAGAAAATGATCAGCAAGAGGAAATTGCGGATTCAAATAATAAGGATGCAAATGGCTTATGTGATACTACTAAAGAAAAGAAAAAAAAGAAAAAGAAGAAAAAGAAATCCTTGTCAGGGGCTAATACTGAAGTTAGTAAAATAGAAAACAAAGTTGCAAAAATCAATGAACCAGAAGTTTCAAATAAAACATCGAAATCGTCAACAAATTGTACAAATATGCGAAATGATCATGAAAATCCCGGTAATCTTGTTAAAACAACTGAAACTGAAAAAGGTAAACCGGTTGAAAATCTAATGCAACAATCAGAAGATAAACCATTAAAAAAGGGAAAAAATAAAATATTAAATATATCTAAATCAAAAAATAGCAAACAAGCTGAACAAGGAATTTCGCAAAAGTCTAAAAATATCAAAAAAAGTAATTTCAAAACGAAAAATCAAAATAATAATAGCAAAATTAGCGATGAACGTTTAAAAGCTTATGGTTTGAATCCAAAAAAATTCTATAAAAAAATACAATTTGCTAACAAACAAAACAAAAATTGTAGCGAAAATGCAAAAACTAATAAGAATAAACGCAAAAATCCTTTTACGTAAACTTCAAGTGTTTAATTGTAAATGCAAATAGTTCCGTTATTGATTTTCTCTTTGAGTAGAAAGCATAAATGTAGGAAATCCCATATAGGCTATAAATATGCTTTGAATAGAAAGCATACGAGTATAAGAAAGATAAAACTTTTCCCTTTACTAAAAGCAAAAGCTTGTAGGGTAAATTTAATTTAATCGCAAATAAGTCAATTTTAACGCAGTGCTATCTCTGAAACGATTGCACTTTAAATACTGTACTGATTAATTAAACTTTTTCTTGTGGTTGTTTTGTGTCAGGTTCAGCTAAAAGTAAAATTTTCTTTAGACTCAAATATATGGATTAACCAGCCATTTAAGTTTCGAATTTTCTTGGTAAAATGTTATTGGTAAATATTTTTGTCCGGACGTCCGAGCATAGAGCGGAAGTCTACTTTTAGTTACCTACTTATATTTAAAAACTGAAAAACAAAAAAATCAAAAATTTAAAATACGTGAAATAAAACGCTGTATAGTATTTCAAACTCATGCGAATGTGGGATTAGTTTAAACAAGCTTGTCCGTGTTGGCTGTTAAAATATCTAATTTGAAAAATATATGAATATAACATTTTATAATCAAACTATTTTAGCTGTTACTAATGCAATAAATAAGCCTAAAATATAATAATGCTCGAGAATTGTTTTTTGAATACATAATATTCATTAATAATAACTCAGTTATTTTTTGACAACATCAAAGGACATGTTGAAATTAAAACAACTTGTCAAAAAATCAAAGAATAATTCTTGTGTGTGAAATTAATGAAAAAAACATGCTTAAGAAACAAAAAATTTTATGACATGTTGGTATTTTATGACATATTTTTTAGCCAAATTACTACATATTAATAATTTTATAATATGAAAAAGTGCTAAATTTGAATTAAAACTAACAGGTTGTAAGGCTGTTAATTGGATGGATTTGGCAATTCTTCGAACTTTTAATTTTTGACAGCATAGCATATATTTTATCATCTTAAATAATTTGGAATTATTTATTTTTACAATCGAAATTATATATTGCTGCAACTAAATATAAATATAAAAAAATTTTACCCACCGAATTTTTTTACAATAAAAAAATGCTTCCGTCTAGCTCGAGAGGGACCGTTTACATCAATCCAAATTTTAAAACAACTCATATCAATCCAAAGTTTTTAAGAAATGGTGTACCAAATTCAATTCATATCAACCCAGCATTTTTGGAGAAACAGCAAACTGAACTATCAGAAGATTGCAACGCGGATAGTTTACCCTTTGAAGAAACATTATCTAATCATACAGATAATATTATTCTAAAGAGTTCAAAAAATAGTCAAGATTATGTCAAAAATACTGAAGCAAAAATCATACCAAAATCAAGGACAAAATTAATTAGGAAATCCAATAATACTGCAACCGCAGATAAATTAAAGATATCAGTTGCCAATACTGAAAGTAGTGGAAAATTATTAAAAATTGGACTTCGAAAACTAATTAGATCTGAAATAAAAGAGAAACCTGTTATTGTGATTAATAATTTCTCAAAGCAAAATTTACAAAAACTTAATCTCAAAAGCAAAAGTGTAGATATTTCTAGTGCAATTAAATTAAAAGACTCTACGCAAAAATATAAGATTGATAGAAGAATAATTATAAAGCCGTCGAAGTTTTTGAATGTAATTAAAAAGAAGTCCTTCGTGTCACAATTTGCTTTGTGTCGTAATAACATGAAGTTAACTCCAAAGAAAGTAGCTATAGCGCAGGATAATATTTTTAAAAAGTAAGTCAATCATATTACACTATCAAAAATACTTACATATATATATATGTTCTAAAAATTATTTTCACTTATTTTTAATTTTAAGGATATTACCAAAAGGAAATAATATTTTATCTGCTAATTTGAAATTGGAGTTATTAAATATTAACGGGGTTTTGTATAAATCCACAAGAACGAAATTGCAGCGTAGTACAGCTAATGAGAAACGAAGCGTGGATTCCCAAAAACCATATTCTAATGTTGGAAAAGAATCAAATGGTGACAGAGTATTATTTGTACGTGGCAATAAATTTGTTCTCGATAAATCTGGTTTAAAACTTACAAAAATTCAACCAAAAGATATTGCGATTGAACAAGGAAATATATTGAGGAACAAAATGAAGAGAATTGATATAGGCGGATTAACTTATGTGGCTAAATCTAATAATGTTTTTATTAGAACTGATAGACATGTTACTAGGAATTATATAAGGTTTGATAATATTGTTAGTTTGAAAAGTAATTTAGAATTTATAAAAAAAAACCAATAATTTTTTAGTACAACAAAGCAAAGAAGTATTAATACTTTGCATAACCGAATGGTTAAAACAAATATACCATGTCCAATTTATCGCAAAATTGGAAGATGTGGTTCATTTGAAAAAGGAAAATGTCCAAAAGTACACGAAAAAGAACATGTAGCAATTTGTTCAAAGTGAGTATTGAATCGTTTTAAAAAAATATTTATGAAGAGCTTTATATTTGCTATTATGTGTTTTAAGATTTTTAAAAGGCGAATGTACAAATGTTAATTGCTTATTGTCACATAATGTTAATTTCTCAAAAATGCCGGTTTGCAAGTTCTTTTTGCAAGGGTGCTGTGTTAAAGAAGACTGTCCTTATCTCCATAGAAAAATGGGGAAATCGGTTGAAATATGCTCAGAGTTTTTAAAAGGTTTCTGTATTTTAGCCGAAAAGGTAAATAATTATATAAATTTTGAGAATGATTCATTTTTAAATATTATTTTATCAAGTGTTCAAAGAGGCATGAGTTTTTGTGTCCGGATTATGAAAGTAAAGGGAAATGTGAAAAAATTAAATGCATGTTTTGTAAAAAACGTGTTAAAGAAAATATTGTTAAAGGAGTAAAATCAATTAGAAATGAAAAAGAAGAAAAGATAATTAAATTAGAAGAAAAGGAAAGTGAAGAAATTTCTAAAAATAGTGAATTAGGTCGATATTTCATTGAACAAAATGAAAAAAGGAATACTAGTTGTCCAAATTTAGACTACAAAACTGGATCGTATGAATCATCTTTATCTTGTAGTGATGTAAGTGATACCGAAAAAGAGGAAGATGTAGAAACCAAAGGTTTGAAGCGCCCAAAATTAGGAATACTTCCTGCTTACATACCATTATGATAATTCTAATACATATTTAATAAATATTTGAGATAACATAATAAAGTGTTCAATTTGATGAGATTTATTTTTGTGGTCTGTGATCAATTTCGATATCGAGAGCAGTAAGGTAGGTAGTATTTTTGCAAAAGTTAATTTATATATGGAATAATATATTTTAAATAAAAACTCAATTATTCTATAAATTAGTTGTTTTAATACAAGTGGTATTTTTAAGGGAACAAAAATGTTAACAATAAAATTACAATTACTAATTGTAAATGTAACATATTCCAATTCAATTCAATTAAAAGGTTTATTATATCACCAAAACTATTTTAATATTTTGTGAAATAAATATTTTACAACATTTGCACAATATTTGAAAAGTTAGAAGTTGCAAAAATAGTTTGATTTTTTCTTATTCAATAAAAAAATTAAATAAAATTTATTTACATTAAGCGTAAATTACATATTTTGGCTATCGACAAATTAATATATCAGTTTCCAATTATTTGGATTATTATATGTTAATAAGATTTGCAAATGTACAAATAAACCGATATGTTCTTCTTCAAGGGCTAAGGACACTTCTAACCAATTTCTTAACCAACTAATCATTTGTTCGTTTGTTAAATTTGATGGGTTTAGACCTCTTAAATAACATGATTTTCTCAAAGCATTTGGCTCCATATTGTGAACGTCTCCTTCTCGTTTAATTGCTAAGTCCATATGATGTATAAGATAGGCATGCTCTAGTAAACGATTTCTTTTAAAAAATGATGCTGATATACCATGATGACGACAGAGGTTTTTCTGCAATCAAAAAAATATAAAATTAAGGTAAACTATTGTTTTTGTATACCGAATGCAGAAGGCTTTACTATATGACTGGATGGTAAACTTTTGAATGAATAAGGCGCTGCAGAAAATAAATTTTTAACACTTATTATTTGTTCTACTGTAGGATGTTGACCACTTCCCAGTTGACCTAAAATATTGCGCCATTCCTGATATAAAGGGTGAGGTTTATTTGATTTCAATTTTAGTTGAAGAAATCGAAGAATTGCTTTATTATACGACAATCTTTCTCTTAATATTTGTAACTGAAAATCAGTTTTTTGTTGAATTGTCCAAAAATGGGCAGTTAGAAAATATCTTGGTTTTGCATAACTATAAAGATATTATGTGTTATTAATCTTAGTAAGTTCAAATAAAATTTTTTGACTGAACATTCAAAACTAATTGATTAAACCTACGCAATGGGAAATATTGCATATCCGACGAAAGGTAAAGCTGAGATAAGAAGTGTAGGTGCAACTTTTATCATATCCCTAGGCATTTGCATATATAATTCAATTTCTTTTCTATTTAATGACTCAAGACCTCCGGATGATATATTCACTATACGCCAAATTTTTAAATAATATTTTAAATCATTTAAAAATAATTTAACTCCATCAAAGAATATATGATAGACTCTCGCTGCTTTCGGAAATTGTTTTTCTAACAATTTATCATAATTTTTTAAATAATCTATATATCGAGTAAAAACATATCCTTGAACATTTTGTCTTACTGCTTGTCTACTATATTTTCCATGTTGTTGTGAAGAGTCTTTTATCTGTTGAGATTTGTCATTGCTGAAAGATAAACCACTTCCTGTTGTTATACCTGATGTTGGGTTAGATTCTTTGGATCTAAAAAAATATAAATATAAAAATGGATGTGTATTAACTTTAAACTTGAACTTATGTAGTACATTCAACGTGTAATACATTACGCAAACAATAAATTTTCATCAAAATATTTGTCCTAAAAAAAATTAATTTGTAAATTAGCAGTTTAATCAATTGAATAACTAATTAGGTAAATTAGCATAATAAGATATTTGATAACAATCAATTATTACATTTAAGTACATATATGTAGGTTTAAGATATCACCTGCACACATATTATGTATACATATATTGTATATTTCACTCGTATATTTGTAGGATATTTACATACATACATATATTACACACAAATTTTATCACTATGCATAAAATATCTAATGCAAGTGTACCTAACTAATATGTACACATATGTGCATAATTGCAAAATTTTTAGGAAAAATATTTTTTTGTATGCTTTAGTAGGTACTTATAATAATTTTAAAACAAAATTATAATTAATATACATTATTTTCTTACGAATTCAATCTTATCCATAAGTTTGGAGGCTGATAATAAATTCCGGTCAAGTGTGTGCTATGTTTCTTAAAGCATGTCCTAGATAATGTTCGAATCAATGGCAACGACATTATAAAGAAATTCAATTAAAAATTTATGTCCATTATGTAAATTAAGAAAAATACATTTAAGATTACTTTATAAAAAAAAACTTATTTTATATTAGACATTAATTTTCACTTCTATAATATAATAATATCCTTTATAAAGCAGCTGAGTTTGACACAACGTGTTCTTAATTTGTATGAGCTTTAAAAGAAAGTTTATTATAAAGTTTTTAGGGTTTTTGGTAAAAATAAATTATATTAAGGGTAACTAGATGATTGAAAATATTACAAAGATAAAAATTATTCTAGTATTTTTTCAGTGTTTTTCGTTGAAATATGATTTAATTGTACTTTCAAAATGAATAAGTTTTTTACTCTTAACTTTTTGGGTCAATTTTTTTATTGCTTAAAAAAGTGAACCACATGATTAGACGATATTTTTATTCATTCCATTCATTGCATATTTTCAGGGAAATAAATTAAAAAGCTCAAATATCTGAAAATAATATGCGTATTTTATTTATATATTACATTTCACAAAAGTGTTACCAACTACTTATCATTTATTGCTCCCATTTCAAAAATATTTGCAAAAATATTTTCATAATAGTATGTATGAACGTAAATATATGCAAAATATAAAGTACGTGAATGAATTTCTGCAAAAACTTGCAAAATTATAGTAGAAGTTATTTATTCTTTATGATTTGGAAAGCAAAAATCAAAGTGTATTAGTAAAGTATAAAAATTTTTTTAGTAAAAATTTAGCTGTTATCATTTATTTGTCATAAATTTTCAATAAGAAACCGTTATACATATAATGTATCTAAATTATATAAATTATATATTATATTCATCTATATTTAAACTTCAAATGTATAACAGTTATAATGTATGAATGTACATATGCAAAAAAAGAAAAGAATTATTTGAAAACAAAATAAATATTATATTTTGAGAAATAAATCAGTTTTTTCTTTTACAGAACAATAATTATTCACTATTAAACAGTATTTTGAAAATGACAAAAAAAAATATCAGTTAATTTAGAAACTATTATAATTATTATACATTTTTAAATTAAAAATATTAATTAAATTCAACAGGTGTTATGCATATTATATATTATTTACATATAAGTATATTAAATCCATTTAAAACAATTTTGTTCTTATTTTACCTGTAATGCTGTTCTTTTTTTTCTGTCCTTGAAATTAGATTGTAAAATATACATTTTATTTTTTGTGTAAAAGAAAAATAAAACAAAATATAACAAAAAAATTTGGAAAATAAATTATAAAAAAATTTGTATGATTTGTATAAAACATCAACATAATTATACTTGTATATACATATATATATGAGACCATTAATGAAACTCTATGTACACTTAATGCTATATAATAAATAACAGTATAACAATATGCTTAGAGTAAAACAATTTTTATCAAAAATAATTTGTGTGTATCTAAACTTAATAAATATGTATGTATGTAAGTATGTAAAAACAAAACAAAAAAGCTTTAAAAATAGAGATGGAAAATATTAATTTTTTTTTTATTTTTTTTTTAGGTTATAATATTATAATAATACCCGTGTCTAGACATTAAAAGAGAAATTTTCAAGCCTGATTGAAAAATTTTTGTTTTCTCAAAGATAATTATGCACAAAACGAGCTTAGAATTTGAATAGAATTAAAATAGAATTCCAAGTGCACCATACGCTCTGGCAATATTATTATTTATTGCATATATTCAGGCGAAATTATTGAATGAAAAAAATAAAAACAAAGAAAACCGAACGCATTATTTTTTGAAAAAACAAAAAAATGGCAAAATTTTATAATAGTAAACAAAATAAATTGCAATTTTTAAAATAAACCATTGTAAAATTTTCAATAAAATAAAAAAAAAATTTGAAAAAAAAGGGTGCCCAGCTATTTTCACTCAAAAAATTTACATTTTCATTTAAAATTTATTTCTATTATTAAGGTATGAGTTTTCATTATATTTGTATTTATTTTTACAAGAATTATGAATTTTTTTTGTAATTTTTATTTTGAAATTAACTCTTTTAAATCATTAAAATAAAATTCTGTCAAAATTTTATGTCACTCCAATGTTGCTAAATAAGTAGTAATTAGTAATAAGTTTCAATTATGATTTTCATTTGGTATATTTTTTTTTATCTCTTTTTATATTTTTATAAATTAACATATTGTTGCTTTTACAAAAAAAAACAAAAGTACATTAATTTATTAAATATATGTACATATATATGCATACAGTCCCCATTTATGTGTGTACGATATAGCATGTAATTTAAATATAAATAAAAACGTATACCTAGCTGATTGCAATGTGTCCGTCCACTAATGTATAAATATACGTCAAAAGTTATAAAAATATTGTATAAAAGAAAAATGTAAAATTAAAAAAAAATTAAAAAAAAACACAAACAAAACAAACAAATTTGTTAGCTTGTTCGTTTTTCATTACGAACTTTTTTGTTTTGTTTTTTCTATTCTGTTTTTGTTTTTTTTCTTCAATTTTTTCCTAAAAAATTACATGTATTTAATGTTGGGTAAGGATAAGTATAACAAGAGTAAAAAATAAAATTACATATAGAAAAATATGTAGAAAAAAGTTAGGTATTTATATTTACTATTATACTTGTATCTGTAATATGTTATACATGCTCACAATATAATAAATATATATGTACATACTGTTATACATTATAGAGCAAAAATATTTTTTTACGCATGTCGTTGTCGTCTTCTACTATATATTTTCTATATATATGTATATAATATCATATAGAATATTTTATATTTAATGAATAATATATAAATGCATACATTTTATGTACATTACAATAACAAAAAGCAAAAAATCATAAAAACATATAGGGAGAAGAGAGAAAAACAAAAAATAGAAAGAAAAAAAAACGGTTACAAATGTAATATACTAATCAAATGGTATATACATATATGAAAAATGAAAACACAGAAAAAAAAATTAAAGAAAAAAAACAGAAACAAAATAAAATTTCCATTCATAAAAGGAAAAAAATATATTTGCAAAAATTTTCTTCGGAAAATTTTCTCTAATTTGTTGCTTTTTTTTTTATTTTATTATTTTTGTTTTTTTTTTTTTTCTGCACTCTGCTGGTTCTGTTTTTTTTTTTTCTTTAAATAAAATATATAAATTTTTTCAGTTTTATGAGAGATGCCGTGGCGGTCGTTCTGATACTGTAACGGAATTATTATGGAGAATATATTTTGTATCTGTTATACATATATGTAAAAAATAAATAAATAAAAAAAAATATAAAAAAAAAATTTAAAATATTTTTTTTTCTTTTTTTTATCTTGTAAATTAAAAATAATGTTTGGAGCACAAAAAAAAAAATTAAGAAAATTTTTAAAAAATAAAGAAAAATTTTGCAAATGTGAGTTTTTTTTTGAGGGTTTTTTGAACATTTGAATTTAATTTCATATACAAAATAATGAAACAAATTAATTGAGATATAAAAAAAAAAAATATAGAGAATTGTTACAATTTTAATTATATGAATTTAATAAATTAATAAGAAATATAAAAGAAGAAATTATTAATAAATAAACATGAAATAAGAAAAAATTAAATAATTTCAATTTTCAATTCAAAATTAAAATTTAATTTGAATATATAATATAAAATGAATTGAATACAATATTTTAATTACGGTATTTATATATATATATATACATGTATGTAAAAAGTGTTTTTTTGTACAAAATAATAAAAAATATTACAAATTATAGCACAAGTACTAATAAAATCATAATATTCTTATCATTTTAATTTTAAAAGAAAAAATTAAAAATATATATACATATCTTTTATAATCATATAACATAATAATTTAATTTAAATTATAATATTATCACAACATAATTCAGTAAAATTTTTATTAGAGTATAACAATTATTTCCATATTAAAATTTTGTATGAATTCTGGAAGAATTTTTTAAAAAATAATTTAAATACTCGTATATGCGTTATTATCATATTATATACAAATATATTTTAAGATAATAAATTATTAAATACTTTGTATACATATGTATTCTTGTATACTATAAGGATATAAATAAAAATATACAATATATTTAATTATATTTGAAAATTAAATATTTGTTTTAATTATTAATATAAGAAAGATATAGGAAAACAAATGTAAAAAGTAAGTTTTAAAATATTATTTATTTTGATAAATAATTATTTAGTTGATTATTAAGTATCTATTTTTCTTGTTATTATCATTATTATCAATAATTTATTAGAAATAATATTAAAATAATTAAATATTATTCATTTGTATAGTCAAAAAATCAAGTGATTTTTTATAAAAAAGAAAAATTTAATTCTCAAAATAAAATTTTTTATATTTCTTTATATGTATGTATATATATATTACATATATATATGTTTATTTGTAATAATTAACATATATAATATTGTAATAAACAATTTTCAATATATATATATATGGAATATATAAAAAGTCTGTCATAAATTTACTATTTTCTTTGTTTAATAAATTTCTTAAAGTTTTTGAACATCTTTTTCATATTTCTATATAATAGTTTTCCTAATATAAATACGAATGTAAATAAAATGCAATATGTATTGTACATTATATATACACTATCTATATATATATAGTATATAACATCATATATACATATATATATACTATCTATTGTAATATAATAATTATATTATTATCTTATTATTTTTTTCATTTATAAATGATAAGTTGATTGACAACGTGCTGTATACATATATTGAACATATTTATATTCTCATATTTTGTGTATATATATACATATAAATATTTCTTAATTTTTATATATGTACATATACGTCATTATATTTTTATATAGTGTTGCTTTATATCATATAAAAGTACATACTTACATGATATTCTACTATGCGTCATATGTATATATATATATATACACCATATTTTACTCTATATTATATATTTTATATGTATGTATATCACAATCAAAGTGATAAAAAGTACATAATTAATAATTTATTGTAAAAGGAGAATAAAGATATTTTATATTATATTATCAGATATTATTATGTTGATATATATACA